TCTACAAAAACATATACATACATACATATAATTGTACCTTAAAAATTTTTCATCATACACATACATAAAAACTTAAATATTTCTACATAATAAAATGCATGTGTACGTACCATAAAATAGGTGGAAAATGTGATATGTAAATTGTAATTGACACCATTATTATTTGAAAGTTGCAAGAATTAATGAATTAGAAAATAAAATACAAAAAAAAAAAATTTTAAATGAATTCTTTTTATTTTTTCTACATTTTTAGTTGCCATTTTTGTTTTTTTTTTTGAAACAATGATATTATGTGAATAGAAAAAATTATCGGAGCGACTCATTAGATATTTACACAGCATTTTATTGATATTGTAAAATAATAATGTTACAGTAAAAAATTTATACGTATATATGCATGCATATACGAGTATGTATGTACATTTGTATATTTGTGTACAAATTTTACTTGCACATTTTGTATTTTTAAGTTAGATTATACGTATGTATTGTCTGTTTGGGATTGTAGATATTTTTCGTATATTATACTTTTTGTATATGTCATTGTACTTGATGCAACTACATATTATTATAATTAAAAAAAAAATAAAATATTAATTTGAAATTTTATATTCTTGTTTACCTCTGACAAATTAAAAAGGTAATGAATTAAAAAATGAATTTGTTGAAAATGAAATAAAAAAAATATGATGTAGTCAACACATAAGCGATCGCAATATACATTGTCTAGTTTAGTGCAAGTGTTTCAGAACATTATAAAAATGCTATTTAAACACTTCTTTACAATTTTGAGGATACAAATCAGGTTTTAGTTAACATTACCCGAAAATGTTAGTAGAGTTTCGTTTTATGTCATTCGAATTGAAAAGTAAATCAGTTAGTTTCGGTAACAACAAGAGCTTAAATATTAAATTTCAAGAAATTTTATCACTTAATTCCGTAGAAATGGTAAAAAATGTAAAATCGATCGGTAAAAAATAAAAATTTTAGGTTCCGGGCCCCTCTTAGTTTATTTTCCGAGTTCATTGTTTTAACAACCCAAGTTTAAATAATAAATTTCAAGAAAATTATCTCTTTATATGGGCAAAAATGTAAAATAAAAAAGATCCAGTTCCTGAGATCTGATATATCCGAAAAATTTATTTACGCTTCCCTAATATAGAGAAGCACGTTCCCACCGAAAGCTCGATGTCCAAAATTTATTGGCATCACTTACCCTCCCTTATTGTATGCAATGCGGTCGGTAAAGAATTGATTATAATTAGATATAAAATTTATTATTAGAAAATAATTATTTAAAATATTTTCATGTAAGTTATATAAACCGTAATTATTATACTCTTATAATATACAAAATTAAAAAGTGACCAGAATGGTAAATAATTAAAAATCGAAGTTATTTTTCAATTAGTAATAAATTTTTTTTAAATTGTTGAGATACGATTAAAGACCAGTTTTGTGTAATTCAAACGAAATTTCAAAAATATAGGGTGTAGCTTTGTTGCAGATTAAAGATTGTATTCGATTTCAGAGTTTTTAGGGATAGATAAAAACCTAGTTCGTACCATTCCAAATTTCTTTATTGGGCCCAATAAAATATCACCTGCATGAACTGGGAAAATCTAGTTCCCTTGTATAGATTCCGTGAGGACAGTGACGAAACCACGATACATATCCTTTTCGATCGCCCAGTACTTGCTGTCCGGCGGTGCAATTGTTTAAGGCAGAATTTCATAAGTATTCAACTGCTGTCTAAGTCCATTTGGGAATATGTCTAGCATTAATGAAATAAACTAATATATTATATCCACAAACATAGTATTTAAATAATTTTATGTATATTTAAGTATGTATATAATGTTTAATAAGCATCATTTTTGAAGGTATTCACGTATTTTATCAAATATCTCTGAAACTTGATTATACCTTTTAAATATAGTTTTTTTTATAAATTATCAAAATACAAATTTTATTTTAAAAATTAAAATATTTTTATTCATTTAATTTTTTTTTTTGTAATTAAATATTTGACAGTCAAATTACAAAAGGTATAGCATTTATATAACATACAATGAATTTGTTTAAAATATTTACAATTCTACTCATACATATATAAAATTATTCTTCTATTTTAATTATTGTTGTTCTTATTTTTAACGCATATACTAATAGCAAGTTATTTTTTTCCACTTTTCCTTCATTATTATTTAAATTTTATCTAAGAATTCATATTACAAAATATATATTGTATGATGGTATATCGCATACAATATCTTCCTCAATTATGCAACATTTTATTTTTTCTTTGTTTTTTTTTTCCTAAATATTTTATGTACACTATGGAGTGTGTATTTAATATAAAACGAAAAATGATGAAAATTTAGAATCTATGAAACAGGATATTATCTAAAGATCATATATCAAAAAAAAAAGAAAAGAAAAAAAAATTCATTTACTTTTATACCTTCAGCATTATTTTACCTTTGAATCCTGAATACAAGCACTTATGTATATGCGTATATAACATAAAGTGAAATATAAAATCTATAATAATGTAATACTATATAAATTTTGGAAATATTTTTAAAGACTGTCGTAGTAATGTAGGTATATAATAAAGTTCTTTGTCGCTTTATATATTTATCTTGTGCATACTTTTAATAAAGAAAAGAAATATGACACCTTTACATATATCATTTATATTAACATATACACAAATATACTCAAATATAATATTATAATAAGTATAATCATTGACGTTGTTGATGTCACATTTATATGTATGTATGTATAATGTATTTTGGTATATATTGTATGTATAAATTTAGAACAGAAAAAAATAGTTTTGTTGTTATTGCGTATGGTACTAAAATGAATACGAGTATGTGTTAATAAGCAAAATTAAAAATTTTTCTTTTTTTCCTCCTATTTTTATATTGAAAAAATTTTTAGAAAAAATATGTTTATTAGTTTCATTGTCTGCCTGACTGGAAAACTTTCGATATGAAAAGCCGAAATTTTATGTGTTAATAGATTTTTACTAAAAATATTTCTCTAAAAAAATTTATTGCATATCTCGATCCAACTTCTATACTTTTATAACTAGACATAGAAAACTATTATTTTTCAATGTCAAGAAAATGCAAATTTTTAGCAACTTGAGTATTGTTTTTTCATATAGGCAATTTCGGTAAATTCTAAAAACGTATTGATGTCCAATGTCCATTAAATTCGCAAATTGAAACCGGTTTTTCGTTAAATTAATACTTAAAAGTTAAAGTCTCGAGTTCTCAATTTTTTACATACATATGTATACTTTTAAATGGAACTCATTTTGTGCTATTTCAACTTGCTTTTTATATTTTTGCTTTTCCTCCTGCAAATATGCAACATAATATATTAAATTGGTAAAATCTATCATATCATTTAATTTTCACCGTTATTTTTATAGCTTTACTTGTTTTTAACTTAATTTATTTGACGGAAATGTGACGTTTTACAAACTAATGTTTTGACCCAAATTTCATTAGTTTTGTTTTTGCTGAAGGTATCTGTATCCTAATCTTTTATAAATACATGTTCTTATTAGATGAGAGGTCTAAAAACTTATTGTGACGATAAAGTGTATTACAATGGGAATAACAAAAACAGTAAAAAAAGTTAAAAAGTGAAAAATATACAGCGATTAGCTACAAAAGTAAGTTTGTACCTACAAACTCATAAATTTATTTACCTCATACATATAGAAATATATATATACGCAAACATTATAACAATCCTGAACATTATAAGTTATGCATTTATAAACAAACAATAGTGCAAGAATAGTGGTGAGCCGCGCGATTTAAATTATCAAATTTCATCGCATGCCTGTATATAATATAGGCTTTTACTAGTGTATTAATTTTTTTTTTTGCACTTTTTTCCACCGTTCTCATTTTCACTTAATTGTATGTAGATATATGGTTATAGATTGTTTTTGATATTATATTACTGTTATATTTTTACTTTTCTTTCTTTAGCTGGTCATTTATCGGCTATAGTCAGTATTTAATACTTAATTTATAGATGAAAGCAAAATAATATACATTCACATGTATATTCATATATGAATATATGCTTATGTGTGGAAATATATTTTTATGTCTAAATGCAGTGGCAATTCTTGGTTGTAATTTTAGATTTAAAAATAAAACGAACAATATTCTTTAGTTTCTTTAACAAAGATTTGATATTTTATATAAGGTTCACACAAAATACATAATATATTAAGATTTTTTCGAAGAGTTTAGGAATAGAAGACAACCTATCGATGTGTTTATACTATAATTACTAATTAAATTACGCGACTTCTTTTATGGCCCTGTATCATAAAAGTATTCTTGCAAACATCTGAAAATGCAGAACTACGAAGCGACAGATTGTGAAGAAAACGGTGTGAACTATCAAGATTCGAAATACAATTCCGCAAAACAATAGGAGTAACTCCATTCGAGCCAGAACACCAATCGTTACTAAAAGGTAATAAATTTTGCAAAACAACAGCCTCATCAATAATTATTTCACCTAAATGAAAAGGAGTAGAACCAGAAAACTTCATCTCGTTATGAACTCAAAGTAAAAATCATCAACATCCGCAAACCGCCTGAGAAATAAAAAGCAAAAAAGTTCGATATAACATGTAGCCAGACCAAGAAATTAAAAAGACGACGGAAAACTATCAGACCTACGCTTACTATTCAAAAATATATGATAGTCATAAAGTAATTCAGAAAGAGCCATAACGATCATAGACAACAACAAATTCTAAGTAATCCAACCGAAATCTCGATACCATATATGATGGTCTTCCACGTCAAATTTTTAAAATTTTCTAGAGTACCAAGGGACGACGGTAATAAACACCAACTTACCCAATTCAATTTTATAATTTCTTAAAATTAAATAAAGAAATTCATTTTAAAATTTATTTTGTATTTTCAAAATAAAATTTCACTTACATTTATTTCATCTGTTGGTAATTCTTTTTTAATTTTAACATTGGCTAAATTAACAGAATTACCGACACCAACAAGTGATGTTGAAACACCAACTGTTCCAGATGTTCCAGTTGTTGAATGTTGGTGTGCTGGTGGTGAAGCTTTTGTTGTCATTTTTGTTTATGTTTTTTTGTTTTTTTTTTAATAATATTTTCTCTTTCTTTTTTTTTGTGTTTTTGTTATTTGTTGATAAATTATTAATAATTACAGATATTACTTTTAAATTTTTTATATTCTTAATTTTATTTAAAATAAATTAATTTTTTTTTTTTTTTTGTTTGTTTAAATATAAAATAAAAAAATTAATACATTTTTTTTTTATTTTCATTCGTATTTTATTTAATACCTATATAAATATGTATTTATATATATATGTAATAAAATAATATTACATTTTTCATTGCCCAAATAATAAATTAATTTAATTACTTTATATATGTATGTAGGACTTTTTTTTTTGTTTTGTAAATATTTATGAGAATTTAATAAAAATAAATGGGAAAATAAACATCTTTTTATGCAATTTTTAGGCAGCTTTTCGCTATTTAAATCATAATTTTCACACGTATTCGGATAAAAAAAAAATTATATTATATTTATAAATAATATACTTATAAAAAAATTTATATATGAAAAAAAATAATAAATAAAAAATAAAAATAAACGTCCTAAATTCACACTGATTTTTTTTTTTGTTTTATACTTTTGCTTCTTATTTTAAATTCCAACAATTTTTTTTAATAAAAATTAAATATTTTCTTATTCTTTCTTTTTTTTATGAATTTTCCATCCCTGTTTATATATAATTTAAGCTATATATCTATATATATATATATATAATTTTTTTATATAAAAAATGCTTTTATATTATATTTTAAATATCTTTAAAATTTTATATCTTGTTTTTCACTAATCAAAAAAAAGGAGAAGCAAAAACAACTACAAAACGATATCGTGCACATGTTTAGTATTTTTCTTTTATTTTTTGTTTTTTTTTTTTTTTATTTAAATTAAATGTATGTGTATAACAGCACAAATGTTATAATACTCGTAGGTACTAAGTATAAATTGTACATAAATTTAGATTCAATATAATGTTCTATATAAAATTTTTATAATTATACTTTTTTTTCCTCTATGTACGTAAATGATCTGAATATCAGGGTTCAATGAGCCAGTGGATCATTTTCTCAATGTCATTTTACCTAAAAATGAAAAGAAAAAAAGAATTGAGAAATGAAAACATTAAAAATAAAAAAAGGAAAAAAAAACACAAATAAAAATTTAAGAAAGAAATAAGTTTTTTTTTATGATGCAAAAATACTTTAAAAAAAAAATAAAATATGTACACATAAATTTATTATATTGTAATTAATTTTTAAAATTATTTAGTTTTTTATTTTTAAAGCACCCTAAGTGTATATAATTCGCATACAACATAAAAATATACCATTTAAATTAGAAGATAATTAAATAAACTATAAAGAAAATAGAAATTCATAACTCCTCCTCAATAATAATTGATAATAAAATTTTCAAAAACAGAACTTTTATACTTTTATATTTATAATTTTTTATTATATATTATTATAATTTTATTTATAATTATTTATAGAAACCAATTTTTACGGAGACGCAAAGAAAAAAAAAACATTCTTTTAATATCACTTACAATTTATATATTTAATTGTTTTTTTTGTTTAATGCCGCAATAATAAGTTTATCTATAATTGTTAAATTAACATTTCCAATTTAAAAATTTTATTGAAATTATATTATGGGCCTAGGTAAGTATATTTTAAATATAAAAAAAAAAATTTGTAATAATTTTTAGCCAATGACAAATTAATATATTTAAAGTGAGCAGCACATGCCAATCGTGCTCTCTGATTTAACAACAAATGATATTAGTTTGCCGAATTATTTATTTTAAGAAAAAGACAACACTGCAACAAGATGCTGCAGTTTTGGCACAGGTTTTATCCCTCTAGCAATCGTCCAAGATTTTAGATAGCAGCAAAAAAATGCAAAAAGATGGCAGTTACTCTTCTCAAAGAAAATTTCAAAACCAATCAGCATATTACGAAAATTTTGTCATGGTGAGATGAGACAGGGAAACATGTTCTATGCACTTGCGAGGCGCTGAGTTGAAGATACTTTCATACTTAATAGAAAAGGGGTGGAAGGTGTTTGTTTCGAGCCCTCCGACATGCGTGGAAGTAGTCTGATGGAAAGCGCACTTTACGTCAGTATAAATTGCAATTTAAATTTGCATTTATAAGGCCAAAGTTTATTAATTACAATATCAAAAAACTTCCTACTTCAATTAAAAACTTAGATTGTAATAAAGAAATTGAACTGAAATTTTAAAATTCTTTAATTTTGAAAAGTTAGATAATCTTGTAGATAGGTTAAGAATTTTTATGTGCAATACATATCATACCATATTACTTACTTAATTATAACATTTTATGTCACCTATATGTACTATTTATGTAGAATTATTTTATTTTTATTAGGAATCTAATGTACGACCTCATTTACTTTTCCCCGGATATCTTGAAATACATCCAAATCACTGGTAATTTCAAAATAGTAAAAAAATAGAAGAAATTAAAATTATTAACTATTTTATTATTATAAAATACATACTTAATATATTTTTTAAAATAATTGTTTGGCTTTTAGTGGGTTTTGAACATTTCGTCAACAATAATTGCTAAAAATAAAATATATATCCCATTATTTTTTCTTTTATTGATCTGCGAGTGTTTTTAATTAAAATTATTCACACGAACTTTTTCCATCATTTTGATAATAAAAATTTTAATATGGGAACGTGCAGAACAGTAACACCACATTAAAAGGCAAGGTTAAATAATATATTGAAATTTCCGCATTCTCTGGATATACTTTCAACACAATTCCATCTCACTCATCTCTAGCAACTTCAATTCAAATTCAAATCACAATAATCTAGTCATGAGATTATTATTATTATTGATTGAACAATAAAATTATTTTAGAAAACTAAAAATTGCGTTATAGCAAAAATCATATTATAATAGATAGCGCGAAACCGAAGTATTACTGTAAATAAAACAACATGCTTATTTTAAAATTGAAAATCAAAAAAAAAAAATGAAAAATTCTAAGAATTTATGATTACGTGAGAGACACATGTATATATTCATATATATACCCAATTATAAATACATATAATATAAGTAAATGACAAATATAAATTTTTTATTCACAAAAAAATTATAAATACCAACAATTAAAATGCAATTAAAAGTTAAAAAAAAAGGAAATTATTTGAATACCTGCTTTTTCATCATTCAAAAATTTAGAAATTTTTCAAAGAAATTTTCGTTTTTTTGTTTTACTTATATAATCACATTGTAATAACCAGTAAAAGACAAATTTGAAAAATGCAAAGTTGGGAAAAATTTCCTTAAGGTACATCAAAATTTTAAACAATCTAGAACGAGATTACCCAAATTGTCTTCCAAATAAAGACGACCCAGTTCACTATTAATAGTTTTCACAATTTAGTAACCAAGCCACCAGCCTCAAGAATGGACGACACAAAGATATCAGCTTTTTCCACTCCGCTCCCTGAAGGCACAATAAATTTTTTGGAATATCGCACTCCTTGAAACCAACTCTACCAGTCATTCCTAGCCTGCTAAGCCAACTATCAAAGGCACGAATGACTGTCGTCCTCGACACCTCAAATCAAGACTCAGACCCAACAAATGGAATCGCAACCACCAAACAAGTCAGGTCGATGCCGATAACCCACATCATCGTTAAACTTTTGTGCATAGCAAAATCTCCGAGGAGATCGACGCACTTCATATATTTGATATTATCACTTCAGACCAAAGGGCTTCGAAAACTGCCCTGTTGTCCAACAGAATATAGATCTTGCGTCTTCTGAGGTTCCTTCTAATCTATCTTTTTTCCGATTTAGTTGTAAATAATACCGTTATTAAAGAAAATCAAAATACATATACATACAAGATTCCCAAAAATAAAAAATAAAAACAAATTTTATGTCTTATTAAAGCTCTATTAACTTACTTAAAAAACTTATGGAAATTTTTTTCTTTTTGATTTCGCTATTTAGAAACAATAATATAAGAAGAGTAAAAAAAAATCAACCTTAAGAAAAACAGCGCTAATTTTTCACCCAAAAGCATTAATTTTAAATTATTCCTAGTCTATAGAATTCACAGTGTTTTCACTTAAAGAACTTTGAGTGAAAACAGGACGTGCCTTTTAATTGTATTTCTAAATAGCCTAATAAGTGGTTAATTATTTTTAAGCTACATCCTTTTATTAATAATAGTGAAAATTATGCATTTTAAATTTTGAGATTATTTTCTTTGCAAAAACATTTCTTATGTATTTGCAACAACTGTATGTACAATAATGTATACTAACGTACAAGTTAACGAGCATGATTTTTAAATTTTTTTTTTTAAAATATGTCAGGACCTCATTAAACTAATTTTGAGTTTTCATAATAAATTTTCCAAAAATTTTCATTCAAAGAAAATCTTAATACATGAATCCTATAGCAAAACTATTGTATGTACTCATGTCATTCTGTGTACGTACATATGTAAATGTGTGTATTTAAAATTTAAAAAAAAAAAAAATTTTAAACAAAAATGACGCACAAAAAAAATATTTTTTGTTAATGTTTCTGTTTTTCTATTTATTTTTGTTTTTTTTTTATGTTTTGATTTTTTTAAATGAATTTAATCTGTACATTTCTATTTTTTGTTTTTTTCTCTCTTTCATTAAAAATACAAAAATGTTATTTTTACAAAAAAAATAAAAATGAAACAAAAACAGTTTCTATATTTATAAAATAATTTTATTGAAGTAAAAATCAAGGCAGAAAAAATTTCTTTCACATATTATTATATATGACGTTTGTAGCTGTATGTAAAATATTCTGTTAATATACTCGCATACATATGTATATGCATGCATATTATACAAAGTACAAATTCTAATATTACAGACGTTCCCAATATTTTCCATTTTTTTTTTCTTTTTTTTTTTTAATTTTCCATTTATTTTTTTTTCTGTAATTTTATATTTTTTTATTTCATTTTATTTTTTAAATTCTTTAATACATAAATATCATGTTATTTGTATATATGTATGTATATGTATGTTATTATAATTCTCATACGCAAATACACAAATATAGAAATGCTCGCACACATGTGCGTCTTAAATAGAGGAGTAATAATAATAAGCATTTGCATTCTTATAATATGATACATAAAGATTATTAACTTCGAAATTTAAGCTACGGTTACAAAAAGGAAAAAATAAACATTTATTTTTCCTTTGTAACACTATCCGTTTTTTATATATGTACTCGTAGTTTTCCATGTGAACTGCACGTATTTTATATGCATTCTTAAATAATTCATTTACTATGCACATATGCATTGTACGGATAGAAATCAGAGATGACATTATATCGCTCATATTTAAATTAAGGGTATTCACTCGAAACTACTCTCGAAGTTGTATGCAAATATAACAATGTTCTATATGCCAATCCTTTTAATATATTATGTAATGCATTTTACCTAAACTAATAAGGGTAACAACTATTTTGCGTAAAGGAAATTATAATATTTGACTTAGTGATTACAACTATTTTAAAAGTTTTTTCCCTTACACCTTATTATATTCTTTATTACGTTCAAAAAATCTATATGTATACTTTATAGAGCAGGAAACTTTCATTCACTTATAATTATATTTATATTTATTTTTCATTTTTAACAAAATCTCAAACAATATTCTCCGAAATAAGTCAATGTGTTATTCATTAAGAATGTTAGAATTTATATAAGATAATTATTTGCAATTTAATATAAAAGTCTAGACTCAACCCTGATTTTAAATTTTAACTAACATAAATACATATCTATATATTTTTTTACAATTAATATTATTCTCTGATCCAAATAATATTTTTAATCTACTGAAATTTAATACTCGTACATTAAATTTAACATATACAATGGTATCAAATATCAATTTTAAAATATGTATATACATATGTAAGTTCGTATATATATATATATATATGTACATTAAAGGCACAAAGAAAATAAAAAATAAATTTCTTCCCATCAAAAGATATATTCACATATTTATATGC